GGGAAAGAGGAAAAGAAGGACCAGATAGATGCAATGGAAGAAGACAAGAGAGGAGCATTAGCCCTCCAAAATGCACTCATATAAGACGACCTCCATAGCAGTATTTTCAGCCATCGTACATGTGGTGATCAAGCAGATATCCTGTCTTTATACACTTGACAACCTTTTAGTAGCCTTGCGGGTTTTTTTTTCCCTCCGAACTCTCATACTGTGAAATTAATTAGAAATAATCACACCAAACTAACAGCCGTGGCCTTCTCGAGTCTATTAATACTTGGTGCTAAGGCAACACCGATGAGCTACCTAGCAACACAACTGCACACTTACCCCACTAAAGTCATCAAGTCCTTCTCTTCCCATCTGAATTCTTTCTCAGGAGTACTTTGAAAACAGTTGAATAAATGTAAATTTAATTTAAAATTTAAGAACTGCCTCTAGACTGTGTGCCTTCATTGGGTGGTTTTATAGTACTATAAGATCAAGCAAAAAGCTAGCAGTCATGCCTACCACATACAGAATCACTTTACTTAGAGATGTTTATGGTCCCATTTGTAGTCACCATCTCTGAACCCCCAGCAGGCTATAAATAGGGCAGGATGTGACAGATCACTCTGGGAAGTATGCTGTGTTTCAAGCCCACAGGGATAACTTTTTCTCCTTTGAATGACTACGTGTGACGCACTTCCCAGAGAACTCGGTGCTCAGGCCTAGCCTTAAACTATTTTGAAGCAATACTGAAGTATTTTGGCTTTCTAGAATCAGTTTAGAATAAGAGGAGAAAAGACACCTGAAATAGTACAAATACTGTAAAAGGAGAAGCACAGAGTACTACACTACAGAGCATTTCAGCGCTCCTCAGAATATTTTTAAATGCATAAGTAATCAAATAATGCAATGTTTTTTAATGGAACAATAAAAACAGTTAACAAAAAAAATACTGTTTTCCCAGTTGGAGCAGCGCTGGTGTTTGGTACCGGAGTTCTCGAAGGTTTACTTATGAGCTGCATATTTTACAATTTCTTATGGGACTAGTTAAAAAGAGAACAGCCTAAGAAATAATCAGCTACTTTATGATTTAAGTCACTATGTGTAGCACATCCAGGAAGTAAAGCAGAGCTGCTTAGCGCTCCATGTTATACATCAGCATCGCCATCACGCTCAGTCCCATACTCACGCACACACAAAAAGGTAGCCACAGTCCCAATGATTTTCCAGAGAATCACAAAATTCTCACTGAAGGACAAAGAAGCCCTTAAGAGCGCCCTGATCAGAGGCCAAAGTGGCTGCACCCAGGCCAGGTCTCTGCCTGGAAAGCAGGACTGAGGGTAACCAACAACAATTTGCAAGAGCTGACAGCAGAGTTAAGGCTGGGGGTGAAGCTGGACATCTGCGGCAGAGCTGCTACCTCTGCACCTCTCAGGTGCTTCACCAGGAACTGCCTAATACTGATATAAGCCACCAGCCAGTTACTTTCTTGGGGCAGATCTCTTATTTGGGGCACCTGCACACAGGCACGATGTATTGACACATCTAGATCAAGGGGATAACTGAGGACGTTTTTCAGGTTTAATCATGCCCCATATAAGTCCACACAAGAAGGTGAAACACTATAAAACCCCCACATTTTTATCATAACAAATACAGTGTTCAGTCTTTCCCAAATAATGGTGTTTCTCTCCTTCTCTGTGCTTGCAGCGCATTCTGTTTTGCTTACTCTCCTGGGCTATGTGCCAGGAATAAGAAACAATCCAAATAGTTCACTCAAAAATAATATCATTTACTCTTCCAAGACCTCTTTAAAAACAGAACAAAACAAAAAAAAAACCAACCCACCAGCACAAAAAAACCTCCAAGAGGTGCTCCAAATTTGGCCCTTGGTCCTGAAAGAAAACATCTTGGAGCCAAATGTCCTCAGCTCTCAGTCATCTTTCTCTTTCAGTCTGACACAAAAATTCAAATGCTTTTAAAAATAACTTTAAACCTCAAACTTTTTTTTTTTAAAATGGGAAATCGGGAATGCTCACCCAGCCAGACCACGTAAATAAATACATTCCTTGCTCCAACAGGCTGACGGTATCTTAGCAACGAGGGAAATACCAGATAAATATTGGTCAGGCAGTAACAGCAGAGGTAGGAAAGAAACCACCATACATACAGATACTCTCTTTCCCCTAGTTAGCCCTGTGCTGAATGAGCAATGCAGCAGCAGGGGAAACTCACAGCCCGGCCACGCAGACCCCAAGTAACCCTGGAACAATGAACTCCTGTCCTGCCAGGGCTGGATAAGCAGCTCTGTTCCTCCAGCCAGGAAGGAACCAACTCCCTTTCCAAATACCGCTCTTGCAAAGGCAACTCATCCTCTTTGGAGAGATGAACAGGAATAGAAAGAGCTGTACACCACACCCTCCGAAGGATCCTTTATATCCCTATGACTTGTAGTGTCGTATCTGGGACAAGGAAGAGTTCTATTTGCTTGTTTTCACATGTCATTATTGCACACGCCTGTGTGGGAAGGGCACAAACTGCACTGTTTACCCACAGGCCACTCACAGGTGAGGAGAAACTTCATAGAAGCTGACACCACGGTATCGCTCCATGTTCTGCTTGCTGTAGATTTCCAGTTCCTTGTACGGATTAACAGACACCAGAACTGAGCCAATGTATGTCTGAAAAAGAGAACACAAAGTAGAGAGGTTACAGAAGGTCTGGCAGCAGATTCTCCGAGAGCCCAGACTGCTCTGAAGGCCATATGTTGTTGACAAGGGCTGCCTGTGGCTGTGCACTTGGGGATGCTGCTGAGCGCTTCCAAAGAGGCCAAGGGTGCTGAAGAAGCAACCTCATAGTGCAGTGAGAATGACATTGCGGGAGTTACGCTAGACATGCTATCTTGGCACCTGCAAACGGTTTCAGTGCTTCTAACAAGCAAGAATACCAGATTATTTCTGATATAGCATTTAGGACCAAGTTCAAGCCTGGGGCTGCTGAAAGCCCACCGCAGAACAAATTCATGAAATGGAAGAATGGGGTGTGAGTTGGATTTCAGTGCTGGCAAGAGCTATAAATGCCAGCAGACCTCAACTGGAGCACTGCACTGAGTCCCTATGTCTCTTAACGTGACAGTATCCCAGACTAGTTCTGACACAAACAACCATGGCCTATTAAAGCTGATACCACCATCTCCAAATCCAACTGCAGAGCAAAGCTATGGTACATCTTCTGCAGCAAACACTCAAATTCACTGATGAACACTTTGGCATCCATCACTCTGCTACTCACATAGATCAGATTCTCCTTGAAGCGCTTACGCAGATTTTCAATAAATGCTGCTTCACTGGTGAAGTTCTCAAGCAGGACAAAATCCTGCACCCCCACACGGTCACGGGCCGTCAGAGCGCTCTCCATGGTCAGCCGAATACCGTTAGTCCCTGCTCCCTGCAATCAAAAGCAGAGGAAGGTTGGGATAACTGTGGCTTTGTACAGAGCTCACCGAGTCCACAACAACGATTAACTACAATTACCCATGGACAACCTATAAACAGGAGAGGATATTAGAATAACTCTGCTACTGTTGGAAACACTAGTCAATGTATCAATTTATCAATTGGTTTATACTAATTGCTTTGATAGAAGACAAGCAAGCATTAGGGAAAAGTTATTACTAAACTTCCAATCACTTTAAAGGAATCGGTCAGTCAAACATGCATTTCATAAAGAGAATAAAACTTGGATTTCCTTTCCCAGGCATCCTTTAGCAGGAGTGAGACTGAACTATGTCCACTCTACTTTTCTCTCTCATTTCATAGCAGGAAGTCATTTCGAGGTAAGGAATCTTTTATGACTAATGATGATTCATGTCATGAGCAAACAGCTTCACAGCACTGACCAATTTAAAAGCTTTAGCAAGATACCCAATGGGAAAATTCAGAACTAATGAGAAATGAGTATTTCTGCATCCCATGCCACTGAATTTACTGTGACACTAACATCTATCCCATGCATCAAGCAACTTCTATTCCCTGACCTTCTTTTAAAGGTTACATTTTCAATGTGATGTGGCTCAGATACAACCATCTTTGGAAAACACAGGTCTGCTGACTTATTTCACTCAGCCTCACATACTACAACAGGGAGAGGAAATGTGCACCAAGTCACTCAGTCGCTACGTGCAGGGAAAAGTTCTACTAAAGGCAATCAGATGTGACAGACAATGTATGAGGCACAGAAGATGAGAGACAGGAGATACAACGTATTAAACAATTTGCCTCACATCTGTCTGCATTTCCTTATCATATTCTTAAATTCTTCTTACCTTGCAAACTCCTCACCGCAAGCACTCTTCTCCTAAATCATTTCCCTAAAGCACTAATGCATTTCAGAGAATCTGTTGTTAAATTCTGCGACGTTGCCATCAATGGCACAAACACCACTGGTGCTTGTTCCTAAACAGGCTCACACACTAACAGCAATACCCAGGCACCCTCTCCTGTATTAGTGTTACAAACCGGGAATGCCAGATGCCTGCCTCAACGCTGTCATCCAGCCCCAAAACCCTGCACAATGATGTAGATGGTTTTTTGCTGACTCACGTTGTCAGGTAGTTCCTTTCTGTTCCTTCTCAAGATATAATAGTGGTCAGAGCACAGGGACTGATGGCGTGCAGGGAAAAAAAAATAAAACCAATCTTTGTCAGAAGAAAATTTACCTTTTGTTGAGTAGTAATAAAAGCAAGACCCACTGAACTGTAAGTTTGGGCCCAAAAGGGTGCAAATTCCCTCAGCCTGCAGTTGTTGAGACTTAACAATCATTTATAAATGCAGTTTTGCCTATTTCTGCAAGTTATAATTGGCTTTCTTCCCAAAAGCCCAGTGCACAAAACCAGCAGCTTTCAGAAAGAAAAATTAGTTCCTACAACTTGCTACTAGGAAATCTCAACTCCAGATCTACTCTAATGGCTCAAACACCACAAAAGAAACATCATTTTAATTTCCCTTTTTTATTTTTTCCAATTAGTCTCACGGTCTGGAAGGCCTGATTTCTGAGCTTTGAAAGATTCAGGTTGAGAGGAATTCTGCAGATACTTTGTCATAATTAATCTTTTTTTAAATGCCCAAAACTTTCCAAGCCAATTCCTCCACACCTTCAGCAAAGTGCTTTGTTGCCGCCTTCCACCCTCTGTGCCAAGGTGAAGAGAAAAGGGATAAGCCCTGGAGAAGAAAGGTGGTGAGATAAAGGACAGCACTGGCAAAAGAAATAGAGATAAATCACATACAAATAAACTCTGCTGAGAAAGTAGAACCCTTCTATCAGAGCAGTGCAATCCTGGAGCAGGTTTGGACAAGGGAATGGGAACAAAGGAAAAACCAAAAGAAAATAAATGGTTTTCAAGTGGGTAAGTTTACGAACACAGCTGCCTCAAAAATGACTGAGGAGAAGCTTCCATCCTCACACAGTTAATCCAAGTTTATATAATCCTAAAGACTTTCACAGAAAACGTCACTTAGCAGTTTCAGCAGCTCTTTCATCAGCCACTCCCTCCAGCTCGGAACAAACTGATCCCAGCTGTACACATCCAGCCTAAGGAAGAAGCAATCTATCCTACTTACAACACAGAAAATTGCACTTCAGCCGCCTCCTCTGGGACAGGCATTTAAGGCTGAGTAGCTTTCAGTTTCCTCCACGCTTTTTTCTTCTCATTCAACTCCAACTTCTCTCCGTGAGAACAAAATAACTACCTGAAATTTTCAGTCAGTCTAAAAAAGCCTCAAAACTAAATGCAACTTTTCAGCAATAATTAAATGCGACCAGGTTACCTAGTCGACATGACTGCAGTCAGATTCTCCACAATGTAAATTTTAATCACAGTGTTGTATCCTCCCAAGCCTAAATTCAATGCAAATATAAACGTCAGTCATAAACCACAGCTCAGCAATATGTGCCTCTCTGTGCCAGCAACTGCTCATTTGCTTTATCGTCCAAGTCTACCATCAACTTAAAATGTCAACATTAACTATTTGACTGCCAGTAACTTCAACAGATGCAACGTAAATGGTGGTGAAAATAAATCCTTTTTGCAAAATGGAAACAGAACAGCAATGCAGAAGGAAGAAAGCAGGGAAAGAAGACACTATTTAGAAAAAATAATCACAGTGATGACCATGTGTTCCTACTGAATGATGAGTGTGATTCTAAGGCACTGAATAAATTAACTAAAATGTTAGTTATTTTATGTTAGCAGGCAGACATCAAATCTGGTGGCTGTAAATTAATGCTAGAAAACCCAGTCTGGGGGATTAAATATGTTACAGTGAAGCTAATTAACCATTAAAGCAGTTTGCCTATGGACAGTTCTGGCTCCCTTAGTGTCTTTGCAGTGGATAGATTTATCTCTGCCAAAGTGCCTCCAGCTGACGTACAGTTCATTTACAACATCCTCTGCTCTGTGCTATGCAAGAGATCAGCTTAGACAAAGCCCTGTGGCAGGAAGTATGTATTCCAGATAATTAGAAGAATAAAGGCTGTGGGGGTCTGATTAGACCCTTCCTTGTGAAAATCAGTTTTCCTTGTAGCTGCTAAGAGAGTACAGCAGTAGACGAGCTGTTCTGACGGAGAGAACACAGGCCAAAGGACCGTCCCACCTGCCCTCTGTGCAGCTGCACCCTTTGGCTTGCGCTGGCTCTAGTTCTTGTATAATAAGCTAGACTGGAAATCTGACACGGATTAAAACTCACTCAGGTTTTATTTTTTATTTTAATCCAGGTCATTTTCCCACACTGGTTCCACACATAATCACTCGCAATGGCCGACAGATACAGTGACACAGGATTGAGAACCGCAGCAGTGACAGGTAGGAACAAGCAATTCAGCAGCAGGGCTGGTTTCTGCCGTTTTTAAGTGTTTGTGAAACTACCACCTAAGAGGCAAGTTAGGTGCAGTCTAAGGGCTCACCACCACCAAACCAGAACACATCCCCTCCTTTGGACTTTGCCTCCCTGGCACACATTAACACAATTACCTGTCTCTGAGCTGAACCAATGCAACTCGCTAAACTGGCAAAACAATGACCAGGAAAAAAGAAGCTGGTATTTTTCTGCCTGAATCACCTTACCATGGGTGTCAGACGCAGGACAAGGAGGAAAGGGAGCACAGGTGCCCTTTTGACAGTAACAGGTAGTTAGGTTAGCTCAGCCATGCGCAACTTCACCCTGCCTATAGGAATCAAAATGAGGAACAGGCTAAGGATTGCAACCTTTGTAGGATATACATGCTAATGCCACACCCAGCATGGCTGCAAACAGAGAATTGCAAAAATTTCTGCAATCTCCATCTGATCTCAGTGCCTGTGGGCTTAGGAGTGCCTGTGCCTTCTCTCAAACTGGCCTTTCATCCCATACTAAAACCACTGTCCCAATGGTCACTCCTGCTTGAGAGAGAACAAGCTGACTTTTGCCACTGTGTTTCTCAAACCCACCCGGAGGTACAGTTCCAAGGGACTCATTCCCACACTATTTTAACCCACTCCTTGCTTTTAATCTCTTCTCCAGAGCCGTTAGCACAACAGTGGCTCACTGCCAGGAAAGGAAAAGCCGTCACTCCTGAATGGTGGGGACCAAGCCAGTGCAATTACCAAAGCAGTACTACTTCCACATGCCTTTTTCTTCCGTGTGATTAAATTTTGGGAAAGACTCTCAGCTGGTGTAAATTGGTGCTGCTGAATGTAGCCTGCAGAGCCAGGTTTACGTTGGCTGAGGTTCCGGCCTTTCTTAGTATTCATACAAGAGTCAACAAGACCAGAAAATACCCTTCACAACCAGCTCCTGGGAGTACAAAAGCACTCAAAACTATACCAAAGAGTTTCCTAAACCAAACTGTAAGTTTCTGACATGGTACTGTGAAGGTGTAAGCAAGTATTTTTCTTTTAAACTATGCTAAATGCCAAAGTATGACAAAGACTTTCCTCTGCTTAGGACTTGGAGATCTAATACACCTCAAAATGAATCACAGGACCTTTTGCTCTGCACAACAAAAGCCAAAGTATTTGAGTCAGTCAGAGCACATCGGGGAAATTTTCTTTTGTGGTGGAAGATGGAGGGCAACTGCCACAAGCACAGGAGTTCAGGGCTGATGTGAACTGAGCAAAAACCTCCCCCCCCCAGTGCAATACTCAGTAGTCCAACATGTGTAGGAAGGAATCTTTTACACCAAAATTTCCCAGTCTTGATTTTCCCAAAGGGGTACCTGAATGGTCAGTGTTGGCACAGCAATTCCAGACACACAAGTGCTGCTGACCACTGAGAGAACAGGCAGAACCTGGCAGCTCAGGCAACTCTCACTCCTTCCTGGAGCATCCAAGAGTGATGTCTGCGAAAAGACCTGGAGCTCTCAAAGTGAATGGTCTTATATGGAGCAGGGAAGGTTTATAATCAGCTGATTTAGAAAGAAAAGTCACATGATGTAAACAAGATTTCTGCTTCAACATCTAAAAATGCATTGCCAGAGGAAAATATTAAAACATACATTTTTACTAATTATCTAGTATCCATTCAGCAGACCAGGAGACTTGCACTACAACGACCACAGGAAGCGGGTGCCGTATGGAAAGAGGCAGGCATCTTTATCTTGGTATCAAGTGAAAGATGATTGATCTGTGGGTTCCAGAAATAGTTACAAAGCCAGGAACGGAAGAACAGGCAAGAACCAAATGTGAGTGGGAAGGGAAATTCAGATTAGATTCTGGAAGACAATAAGAAGTCTGAACCAAGAGCGAACTTCTTGTGGGGAGGTGGCAGTTAAAACACATTTGTCTCCTGGATAGCATGACATGACATTCTTTACTGCTATGCCAAAGCTGCAGGAAGGAAAAAAAAGAAAAAAAAAATCCTCTGATTTCTACTCCACTCTACACCCTGGGAAAGGGTTTGGACACGGCACGGGCTAGACAGCAAAGCAGACAAAAATTAACTGTTTTATCCAGGCCTCAGTTCCTGAGGTGCAGAATGGGATAGCTCTTCTTTCCTTTTACACGGAGAAAGCAATAATGAAAACAACTGAGGTGGACCTGGACCAAGGGATCTTAGTCAAGCACTTGCCAACTGCCAGCAAATCCCTGACCGACTGAAGTGCAGCCGCTCAGGATCCTCCTCCCTTTTGCCACACAAAGTTAGCTGCACAGTTTGGACACAGAAAACTGTTAGTCAAGAGCTGGGTTGGGAAGAGGGCTCCCCGAGAGGCAGCTCCCTATCTCATGTAAAAATCCTCTGCAACCAACCATATAGATCTAGCTGCGCTTCCTGAAGCCGTCTGAGCTCAGACAATAATTTATATGACCCAAATCTCATATATTGGACTTGTTTAAGGAAAAAAATGTAGTAACAAAATAAAATGTTTTATTTTGCTTTGAATTATATAAGCCCAATGAAGAGTGCAGTGTGTCCCACAAGGTGGTAAGCTGTTCTGAGCAGACGACTTGAGAAAAATCAGAACTGTCAGATCAAACTGGATCAAAACCAGATAACAACTCTGATGACACAGAGTAGTAGAGTTAAGGGAACAACTTCAACTTGTGAAAAAAGTTACCGTGTCAGCAGCTGCCACTCAAGGCCCATTTATAGCAGAATCAGTTTTTATTCTTGCTTCTTTTAGAGCAATACATAGCCAACAAAGGAATGTCTGGAGTCAGGGAGCACTTGCCCATGCTCAGAATCTGGTTCTCCCTCTCTGATGCTTCCCTCCTGATCCCAAAACACATGTTGAATATAGTTTTAACTATACACTATTCAAAAAATTATATTAAGGAGAAAGAATTGCTGCCGCCTCCACTAATTTCTGTAAACAATTTATTTTGAAGTCTTCCATATTTTAAGTAGGGACAAACTAGAATACATTAAAACATAGACTAATCAGAAATACAGGGTAAGCAAGCTTATTCCGCTTTCACAAAGATTTCCTATGTTCCCACTAGCAAATTGCCTAGAAGTTAAAGTTCTGCCTCCCTCACTCTCCAAACGACAGAACCATTTAATCTCCTACCCCCTAAAATGCAAAGCAGAATGGGAAATGTGAGAAATGTATCACACTGCGTGCATTATTTTAAGTATCTATTAAATGCACGTAGGTCGTGGGGAGTTAGAACTGTGAAAGCAAAAATTTAATCTTTTGAAAAACAATAATGCAGGGTGCGGATGTTGCTGCAATTAATTATGACTTGATATATTAATCAATGACATTTGACATTCGCAACATTTAGAATAGTAAGAATTCATCTAAGGAGCTCAAATGTAAATTAGAAATGCAAATTATGATGGACCATAAACCAAAGAAAACCATGGAGGTTTGCATGGCAAGCAGGTAATATATTTTTTTTCAATGTTTATAACATAATTATATTTTCTAAACTTTAGGTTTTTTGTTTGGTTTTGGTTTTTTGGGGGTGGGAGGAAGTAAGTTAGGAAAAAAGAGAAGCAATTAGCAATGAAAAGAAAAAGGCAATTATAAGACCTGGTTTGAAGGAGAGGAAAAACTTTTACCCCTAAGAGGGGATGCTGATATTTCAATCAACAAGCTAAAGATAAAACAGCAGTAAGAAAAAAGAACTAGGCAAACCAGAAAGATCACCAAGGCTGAAAAAGTAAATATGCTGAATTTCTATATTTAGGGAGCTGACATTTTTGCTCTTGAACAGATGATACAAGCTGTTGCTAGTTAGAGGATGTTGCTGATCACAGTACGCATAGCAGTACTACCTCTGACCTCAGGTCACAGGCCTGTGCATCCCACAGTAGCTCCAGAAGACAAATGGATAGCATAAAAAGCAAAAAAAAAAATCACATCACTGCCCTCCCAAGTAAGTTTTGCAATTCACTTCCAGATCAGACTGAACAGGTGAGGGGAGCAGAAACTCAAACACTGGCCTACAGGTAAGAATCATGGCATGCACTTGTTCTTCCAGCTTGTAGCAATGGGGTGCTGACCCTGCACCTCTGTTCACTGCTCTTTGATAACTGCTGTTGTATTCCCCTCTGGATTCCTACGCATCCTTTCATCTGTCAGTACCAATAGCACGGGTCTCACAGTCTTACCCTTGCAGCACTCTAGCCTTCCCCACGCCAGATGTTCCCACCTTCACTGGATTCCACACACCCCACACAACCATTTCAGACCATTATGTCTTTCACCGATAGTAAAACTTTCCAAACAGAACAAGCACTCCAGTGCATTCCCAGGGCATGTGAAGGGCACTTCCACACCCACATATTGTCTCGGAGAATATCAAGCACCACCCTAGACAACAGCACTGCTTGTCACACTTTCACGTATCACATCTCAAATCCTTTCTCTGTATCCACTGCTGTACAGAGGTTTGCTGGCTCCACCATCCTCCATGCCAACAGAAATCCAAGCACAAGTCTCTCGAGCACGATCATCTCCGCCTTCAAATGTGCTGCTGCAGGGAGGAACAAGGCAGGTCCTCCAGAAGCTCTGTGCTTCCCTTCATCACTAAGACCCTTTCTCAGACACTGGTCAGCACTAGCCTATTTGGGGAAAACATGCAAGGATCTCTAGACTGAGCAGGTTTGGGATAGTCCTGTCCCATGTTAAGTCTTCTTCAACAGTCAGAATGCTTAAATCTACAGACATGACGTTTTCAATCCTTGTCTTCCTAAATTTGGTAAGTTTACCAATTAAAGCCTTGAACATTCTTATCCAGACAAAAGCCCACATACGCTCTTTTTTATAACATTCCCTTGTTCTTGACCTCAACATCTTCCAATGTCAGTGAATTCCATGGCCCAATTATGTATTGTATGAAAATAATCTTTGCATCTCTGGTAACTTTTAACGTAACTGAATGTCCCTCTTCCTGTGTTATAACACAGAAAAAGGGAGCTCACGATCTGCCTTCTCTGTGGCGCTACTGTATATATTATTTTTTCCCCTCCCCTCTCACTCATCTCTTTTTCCAGGTAACAATCCTAGTCTTCTCAATCTTTTGCCACATATTCATTTTTCTAAGCTCCCAGTGGTTGTCCGGAAAGCAGTACGCAGACCCAGGCTTTCTGGTTGCCACAAAAACACGGACAAAGTTTTGCTAAACTAAATACACCCTGGAGGAACTGAGTGGCAATGAGTCCTTAAGCAGGTATTTCCTGCTGTCCCCATGGGTGGTAGTCACAGTGAAAGAAGCCCATGTCCCTGGGAAGGACACAAGCAGAGCCCAGCACCAGGACAGTACATTTACATCCTCATGCCCCTTCCACCCAAGCAAAAGCTCCACCCTTTCTTCTGTCCTAACGCAGCACACGGCTTTCCCCCTCTGTTCCCACTTTCTCAATTCCCACCTTGGCTTCCTTCTCAAAACATGGATCTCCCGGTTTTTTTAATCCTATTTCAACCCTTTCACCTAACTTTGCAAGGAAAGGGTCTTTCGCAAAGCAGGCTGAAGCATTTCACTTTCCCAAAGAAAATCTTAAAAATCTCCCTTCTTCTCGGACTAGATACACATCTGAAAGCTGCAAAACGACCAAAACAGTTGAATAAATCTTACCGCGCCTCTGAACTTCATTTCTGCCTCCTGCGAGCTCCCGCAGCACTTGCGGAGACTTAGTTTACGCTGCTGCAAAAAGCAGGAATCTGAGGACAAGTTCTCTCTTCTGTCAGTTGCTTTTTTTTTTTTTTCATGACATTTTCGGTGCAGTCACAACTCCCTCCCTCCCACCAGCTCCTACTGGAGCATCCTGGAGAGGGCGTTTTCCAAGGAGAGGGAGAGGAACTCTCCTCCCCTGCCAAAGAGAGACGACGTGCAGAGATCATGAGAGGCAGCCCAAGAGAAGTCAGCTGTCCTCTGCCTGCAGCCTGCCTGCGGAGTCCCCGCTGCCCGGTGACAAGGAGAAACGGAAAGAAAAGTAATCACAGGCACTGGAAAACCTGGTGCAGAGCCCAACGTGCAAAACCACAGCAAACAGGACAGGAAGCGATATGCTCCATTACGGCAAGTTTTTGCACTGAAACAGCAGCAGAGGTGATACTGAACCCACTTCCAACTCACCCCCAACCACAGCAAAATCTCCTGGGCGTACAATTACACTTGTAATCACGCTCTCAACAAATCAAATGACCACAAAGACTCTGGGGTAAGACGTAGTTTGCCTTGTCTGCCCTTGCAGGGACTTAGCATATTGGCTCAGCATTTATTCCAGAAACATTTTGAGACATCCACCCTCAAAACACCCACTCTATCTGGAGGTCTCTGAGGTCCATATCACAAAGTAACCTGCACTACCAAGCAAGACCCTTCCTTGTAGGACACAGTCAAGCCACTGTTGCCCTTAGTTCTCCAGGCCTTGCAAACAGAAGTAGCACGTTTAGCTGTCTCTGAGGCCGTAAGGGTTTGGTCCCACACAAAAAACTTAATGGCCACAGCTAGACCAAGAGTGTAGAAAACCACCACCACCACCCAGAGTTAAGGGCATTCTGACCAAAATCAAAATGTGTATGCAGCCTTTGCTAGCATTAGGTGGAAAAATGAAAGGACGAGAAATGCAAATAGACACAAGCTGGAAAAAGGGAAATTCCAGTGAGATATTAGGAAATTTTTTTCACAATGAGTGCTGTCAAATACTGGAACAGGGGCCAAGAAGTTGTGAAACTCCATCCTTGGAGATATTTAAGACTCAAGCAGACAATGCCTGAACAACCTGATCTAAATTGTCCCTGCTCTGATGTGGGGTTGGACCAGAGATCTCCACAGGTCCCTCCCAACCTAAATTATTCTATGATTCTATTAATTATTTTGGTCCTCAACGGTCTAAGCTATGCATCCATCCTAAAATAAATTACCGGTATAGCAAATAAAGCTTTAGCTCTGTTACAGATAGCACACTGCCCTGGCAGAGGGCCCAGCCCAAGTACAGTACCCTTCAGGTATTTCAGGTGACAAGTAGTTCATAGGAGCACACAAAGCTGCTATCTGGCAGCTGCACTGGAGGCAGGCCCCTGAAGGAGGTACCTCCTGCCCTTACCCTCCATTTCCAAGCATCAAGTGACTAAAAACATTAGTCAGTCATTTGATCTGACTTGTAGCAGCTAACGAAGAAGATAGGTGTCTGTCAGCAAGTCTCCCAACAGAGATAATGACAAAGCACATTGCCATCCATTTCTCCTTTATACCACTCTCCTAACAGACCCCTCTCCGAGGGGGACTTTACAATTAGCCAAGAACATGGCAAATGGCTACAAAATAAATGCAGGTTTATCCACAACATACAAGGTCCTGCACACGCACACAAGGCGAAGCACCCAGCTTTCACCTGCAGTCAGGAAGGTCTCAAACTTAGTCTAACACTACAAACTCATCAGCTGAATTTTCAGAGGTCATTTGCTCTAAAGGCATGCAGCCACATCTGCCCTGAGCAAACATGAGCCTGATCCAAACACCACCTAATTTTCCACAGGAAGCTTATCAAAATTAATGGGAATATAGTCTTTCCTGCTGTGCATGGTCTTCTGAAAAGAGACTACTGCAGGCTCTCTCTTGCATCTGCTCAAATACTTCTGAAATTCACGTTATCACACTGAAGTCACTATCACACAATGTCAGCTATCATCACCAGTTCACTACCGTAAGCAGGTGAACAGAGGTGGCAAACTGAATAATACCCTTTTGTCATCATAAGATCCTTTTGGAGGATATTATTTATTTTATCTTATTTTCACTTTCCTTTTCTAAGCACGGAAGGCTTTTTTCCTGATTATAGGATAAAGACAAAAGTAGAAATAAACCAATTCCCTTTCTCCAAAAGGCTCTTTGGCCTTTAGGTGTATTAGTCTCAGATCAGATATGCTTGCAGGACCCCAGGCAGCATACAGCACCACTGAGTAAGCCCTACTCTACCTATCTGTCCAGAACCAACATTACAAATATCTCAGTTGTTGGAATCCATTTAAAGCGGTCCCTTGTGGCAGTCACCCAAATGTTGCAGCACCAACAGGCAGATTTTCTAACCATTGAACACACAGACCCATGAAATCATTCCCAAGCTCAACTGCTGATATTTCATGACTGGCACTATCTGGAGTCAGCTCTGCTTAAAGAGGGTTTGGTGGTGGTGGTGGGTTTCTTATCAAAATGCATACTTTTCAAATTCTATTACAGAAAGGGTAAAGTCAAGCTTCAAAGTAAAAAGATTTAAAGTAAAAAAGGTAAAAAGCTTTAAAGTGAAGCAAGTAAAGTAAACCAAGGCCATGCATGGCCACTACTCAGACAGGAGGCTATTTAAAACCAACATAGCAGATGTTGTCAGTGGTTTGGTGCAGCACTCCCCTCTAATTAGCTCTGCCCCAAGGCATTGATCCCAGAGATCCTGCGCTGTGGTGGGCATCATTTGCCACAGGAAGACAGTGCCAACGGTCGCAAGGATTTGTGATAAAGTCTGGGTAACCGTTCTGAAGAGAGTGGTGGTGCCACCAGCTCTTCCGCCCTCATTAGATTCCATTTTGAAAAAATTATTCGTAGTACCTCTCAATTCCTGCACAACTCTATTTGGCATGATTTTTATTCACTTCTTATTGTCAACCAACTGAGGAGTTAGGTGAATTTTTAACGGAGGCAGCCTCAGGACATATTTCAGAGATGTGTTTAGCATTGGTTTATGTCAGAGCATTGAAAGAAACAGACAACACTCCAAAGCCCTGCTCAGCGCAGGAGTACAGGTAAGATCAAAGGTAATATAAGCTACAGTTCATGAACTGAGCCACATTAGCCATTACTAAATCACAACACGAAGCCCTGAGCCAGGAGTTTTCCAAGTATAATTAGAACTGTAGCCTGGTGGCTCTGATTCTTCAGGAAGAGAATGTCAGTTCTCCATCAACATTCCTCAAATCAGCCTAGTTGTAGCCAAACAACACACAAAGTCAATAAAATTCATGTTATAATTTTAAGTTATGTATTGGCACAGAGTTATCTTCATATTAACAACTCCACCTTTCCCCTAGTTTACACCTCCTAACACTTCTCAGAACACATCTCATCATTGAAAATGCCACATAAGAGGTGAATATACAAGAACCCAATATTCGGAAGTACATTCTTACATATTTCCCTTGGCTTTTTTATGCAGGAGAAACCTTTTATTTATTTATTCACTATGAAGACCTTTACTCAAAATGTTGGGTTTTTTTCTGTAGCCAAACTACTGCCCAGCTCTTGTTGGCAAGGAAAACACTCCTGCCTGTGAGTTAGCCTAAATTGGGAGGGGAAAACAATAACTGGAAAGCAGAGATAACCAACATAATTTTGATTTAAAAGATCTTGATCCCAAGCTATTAAGGTGATAAAACCAGGCTCTTCCTTTCCAGCAACAGAGCCCAGCCCTTGTCTGTGATTTCTGCTGAGGATGGCTGGCTAGGTCTGTATCACTACTACAGGCAACTACAGGCAGAGGTATGAATCAAGTTTTCCAGGACTCACCAGTCAGAAGTGACTCACGTAAACCCTGGATTAGAGCACTGGGATTGCTCTGCTTGTTGCTGATAAGCAGCTGATTCCCTGCATACAATTTCACATTCAAAGCAAGGGGACTGGAAACCTTTCCTGTCAGCCCTGCTCCGACAGGCTCACAGAGCAGTGCGTGACTTGATAAGCTACACCCGCAAGCAGTGGCTCTACTGAAAAAAAAAAGGAGTTTGGCCCCATAAAACTGACATCAGCAAATCAGTCTTCCCCTCTGCTTTGCGGATTCCACTGCACAATATAAATCTGGAGGTAAGAGGCGCTGGCTTGGGCTTACGCTATTCAAAAAAATCAACGTGGATCACATCTACGTTATTCCAAAAGCAAAAGCTGTCAAGGTCATCTATCAATGCATATCTTTTTTTTTTTCCCCTGGATTTTTATAATATTCATTATTTCTGCCTTGCAAAAGAACTACAGAATAACACACATTCCATAATTAGAAAGCACTTGGCAAAGATACCATGGGAAACAAACCACCCTAAACAGGCCAGGAATTTGAGAGTCCTTCCTCTTGCAGGTCAGAGGAACATCTTAAATAAAAATAGAAATTTCTTTAACCTATCACACGTGTTCTGCTGCCCAAACTATACTGATTTAAAACTGATTAAAATGCCTCGCATTCCTAAGACACCCTATAGCAGAAACTGAACAACATTTTGCCCATTGCTTAGGAAAAAAGCCCTGTTCCAGCAGAGGATGAACATCTGACTGCACGATAACTGGATAAATCAACATCCTGCCAAAGAACCAATACTAAATATTGTAACAGGTTTGATAAGGCAGAACCTCTTCCCCATACCATCAGCTCTGCTAAGAATTGTCTGGTTTCTACCTTCTTTTTGTTTGTATTAATGCATCTCCTCTTTCCCCATGCAGAGAGTAGCCAGCCGTCCCCCAAACAAGTAGTTAGGAAGAGAAGCTGCACATAGGGCATTGGTCACTGGAGACACAACATTGCTGGTCAGTTATGAGACTGAGACCTCTAAAGGTTAAATCAAAAGCCCATTCTACTCACTCAAAAGGTGTCTCAAGATGGTAAAGTTCCTTAA